TGGATAGTGGTGTGGTGTACATGGGTGATAACCGTGCATGTCAAATCATTAGGATAGGTAAAATTTGCATGAAGATGTATAATAGGATGGTTAGAGAGATACATGGTGTGAGATATGTTCTTTCTTTGACAAAGAATCTGATCTCAATTGGAGCTTTAGTTGCAGAAGGTTTGAAAGTTCGTATTGAGGACATGGGTCTCAAGATTGTGAAAGGCTCTTTGATTGTGATGAAGGACGTCAGGAAGAATAACTTATACTACTTGACTGGAAGTACGGTGACAGGTGAAGTGCTGACGACTTCTATTGATTTGACTAGACTGTGGTATTTGAGGATGGAACATTCCAGTATTGATTCCTTGCAAGCTTTGGAAATGCAAGGATTGGTGAAAGGTGCATCGACCTGCAATTTGAAGTCCTGTGAACATTATGATGTGAGCAAGAAGACCAATGTGAAGTTTGACACCTCTATTCACCGAGCTAAGGGCCTTCTAGATGTAGTTCACGTGGGCGTTTGGAGGCCTTCCAATGAGGCATCATTGGGAGGTAATAAATATTTGGTTTCTTTTATTGATGACTGTTCTAGGCATGTATGGCTTGCAACCATGTCTCATTTGAGTGAAGTCCTAGTAGTCTTCAACAGGTGGAAGAAGTGTATAGAGACTAAGATAGACAGAAAGGTCAAAGTACTCCGTTCTAATTTTGGTGGGAAGTACAAGAGGGATCCGTTTCTACATTTGTGCCGAGCTCAAGATATTTTGAGACACTTTAATGGAAAGGGAACATTGGGGCAACTAGATAAGATGGCAAAGTTGATGAACTGTGCCTTGCTGGAGAAGGTTTAGTGTTTGTTTTCAAGCAGTGGTTGCAGAAGAGTTTTTGGGCTAAGGCTTTGACATATTTGTGCCATCTTATTAACAGGTTGACATCTGCTGCGATTGGAGGTAAAACTCCATTGGAGGGTTTAGTCTGATAGAGCTGCTTCAGATTATGAGTTGCTTCGGATATTTGGGTGTCCAGACTATTATCACATCAAACATGTAAAAGTTGATCCAAGTGCAATGAAGTTTGTAGTTCTGAGCAGTAATGTCACTTTTGATGAGGCTTCGATGATGGAGTCTATTGACTCTTAGCAGGTGGAGAGTGTTGGACAGATCATAGATGTATCGTAGCGGGTGGAGAGTGATGCTACTTCACGTTAGGTGGAGATTACTCCATGTTCTCCAGATCATTCTGTATCTTTTAGGATTCTAGCTGAGGTGACACAGATTGAGGATCATATAGTTGATGTTGATACAGATGATGAGTTTTAGGATCAGGAACCGGAGGGTCAGGTTCAGGATCAGGAACCGGAGGGTCAGGTTCAGGATCAGGATTCGAGTGCAACATGTGGACACAGTTCAGATTTGGCTATGGTCGTTGGCTCACCTCAGGTGGAGGTGTTTGGTAATACTGTTTCTTCTACATATATGGTTAAGGGGTTAAGCTCCAAGACAGAGTTGGTATGGAGAGATGCAAGTTTGAAAGAGAGTTTGTCATTTCATTTTGAGACCATCAGGGGTGATTTTAGCTGCAGATTTGTTAGTAATGGCGGAGTTTACACCAGTTACTTGATTGACCCGTTTGTGTGTTGTAAGCTATTAGGTAGGTTGATTGGTGCAAGGGTGTATACAAGGCCAAGATTTGTCATGGATCGTTCACATTATGAGCACTTGGGTGCATGGTCTTGGAAGAAGACACTTAGTGACGGTCGTGAAGTTGGTGAAGGATTGAGAATCCTTCACGTTGATTAAAGTCGTTTACAGCCATTTGGGTGAACTATGTGAGGCTTGATTCCTTGGGCAAGAGGATACGTAGGCAGTTATTTTTGATGCAACCAGTTTGATGAATTGATTGATACTGACATGGTGGAGATTGTTCGCATTCTCATTTGGTTCCCGACTTGTTGTGGATTGAGTCCGTTGTCGTGGATTGATTCCACTTCATACTGGACGCAATAAGTGGGATGTTTGGTTGGAATTGGTGTCGGCTCAGTTTTGAGGAAACTTCGCCGAGGTGAATTGTAGAAACGACGATAAAGTTTAGGAAAAACGAAGCAGGCAGGCACTTGGGTGCTGTCCGGTCGACAGTGGGGCTTGGCCCGGTCGACCGGAAATGTGCACACTACATGGTGCATTTTGGGATCTTTGGCCCCCGGTCGACCGCAAGACTAGGCCCGGTCGACCGCAAATCCTGTAATTGTCAGGCTGAGTTTTCAGCCCTCTGGTCGGTCTACCGCGAGGTCAACGACGGTCGACCACGACTCAGGTATGGGCCTGAGCTTGGTTTCCTGATTGGTTTGAGTTTCTGTTTTGATATAAATAGGAACATGTTTTCTTAGGGTTTTGGGGGGCGAATTTGAGCAGAAATTGAGAGGGTTTTGAACACTTTTAAGGAAGAATTGGTGAGAGATTTGAGAGGTTTGTTTGAGGGTTTTATTTGTGAGATTGTAAACCCTATTTGTATTCTCTTCTCTCTATTGGTAAAATCTCCCTCACTCTCCTTCCCCCGTGGACGTAGGCACATTGTCGAACCATGTAAATTTGCTGTCTTGCTATTTAGTACTTGAGTTTTGGTTATATTGATTACTTTCTTCTCATTCGTTGGTTTGTGATTCGTCCGTTGCGCACAACAGTCAAAAGGTCTCCTAAAATTAGTTCTGTCTTGATCCCTTCTTAATTGAATCAAAATTAGAGAAAATTTATTTTAAAACTAACATAGGATCAATCCTGCCCATATTTTCAAGGAATTTGCCAAAGTGAAACCCTGGTCAATTTTTTGAAAATTAACTTAGATTCTAGAGTTATGTTTCTCTCACCCTTTGCTTTTGCTAGAAAGACCTATCCGTGAGAACGCCCAAAGTGACCGCGCATCATTTTACTGTCAACAGTAGCGGGGAAAGGGCCAGGAAACTTCGTAAAAGCAAAAAAATGTTATATTTATCTAAAAGAAATGACAAGATACCATGAAAGTGAAAGCCTTGCCGTAGTCAATTTTGTTAATTTGCCCGTCATCATCTTATCTCTGTTCTGAGTTGAAATTAAAAGGCAATCAAAGTAAAATTAAGTATATTTTTGCTGGAAAATGACGAGATTGAACCCATATGTATAGTACACAAGAAAAGGACATAACATCCGCAGAATGTCACCCAATAGCTTTCTCAATCTTCTCCCCCCCTCGCTTTCGTCTTTTTATGAATATGAAAAATGATACTCCTATATTGGGATATACGCAATCCAGGGCACATATTATTGAATTAAAAAAATTAAATAAATAAAGGATTGCTCCTTCTTTTCACCTCTCATGGGACAAAGAAGTTTCTCTCACATTCAATATTTACTTGTCTCATCTCATATAGTAATTGTAACAAGTATCTAATGTGGGACCATGTAATATCACTTGAGATATCCCTTTAGGGTGTTTAAAGTATTTTTTTTTCGAAGGCAAGGATAACAACTTCATTTATACATCAGAGAAAAGCAATAACATGTCCTAATCCTTCAAAGAAAATAAAGAAAGAGACAACCACCTCCAAGTGTGGGCCCGTACGGTTCGGATACGTCTCATGCTTATTATATTTATATCCACTTACCAGTGGCGTCGCCAGAAATTTTTTTGCCCTGGGCAAAAAAATAATCCTGGCTGGCGATGAATCCCAAGGCGCAAACATCAACGAAGGAGATGCCTAGTCCTCCTGCTCCTCCGTCGTCGAAGTCAGTACAAAACCTAGCTTTGAGCGTAGTGCATTTTGTTGTAGTGCTCATAGCTTCTTTTCATTGTCCTCGAATAGAACGACCAAAGATAATGCAAGTAGGTATTACAAAAGGTAAATCTTAGGTAGCATTATCCATCGGCCCTTGTTTGCATAGAGCGCCATGTTGCAAGTGAATGCATCATGCTCAACATCCCATTGTATTTTCATCATCATCTTCTCTCTCTCTCTCTCTCTCTCTCTCTCTATATATATATATATAT